TAACTTTTAATTGAGGATAATTATATTTTATATTTATTTTAACATATTTCATATAAATATAAAGTATATTTATCTGCAGCTCGTCATATCTAACGCTTGTGAAATAAATATCAAGTATTTTAGAATATCACATCATCTCAACGTCCTCAAAAAAAAAAAAAAAAAAAAGAATGTCAAGCAAAAATATGTATTGTTTTCCGATCGTGTTCAAGCTACGATTATCTTTTAACATCGCATTCTGTTGCCAACGTTGAAATAGGAGTAACATCCGACTGAATCTCTGTAGAACTCGCTTCATTTCTTCTTCGTTCTTTTATTAATCGTTTTATTAATCTTTAATTTAATGCCATGTTTCCGTTTCCGTGGAAGTGATGTTGGATCTGCAATAAAAGTATAATTTTATTCTAAATGTGCACCATGTATTTTCATAAACTAAAATAGATATACGTACGATCCTCAGGAATGTTCATTCTTTTTCTCAGAACAGCGCGCACTTGTTTGTTTAGAATTTCTCTGCACTGTACGTCAAAATCAGTTGGCAGCCATCCTCTTTTCTCGTGACACCTTATACCAGGTAGAGGATCGGGAAGCTTTGCCAACATCTCTTGTATTTCACCTACTAAAACGTCGCAATACTAGCGACACGATTGGTAAAAAAGAGAAAGTTAGAAATTTATATTATAAAATATTTTCACACATAATGCGCTACTGGAACTGTAGAAAAGGATTGACAAACCTGATAGAACATTTGTCGAGAAGGAGGTACCATGCCCTCTCGGTATATATACACATTCTCATGCAAATGTCGCTCCTTCTTCGGATTTTGTTCCTGGCTCAGATTAGCGCTGAGTATCGCGGGTTTTTGCTTAGAAACCGGTGCTGATTTATATGGCAATGTATAATTGGAATAATTTCTTTTGCATCTGACAGTCGAGCCTAATCCATCTGCAAATCACAAAAATTCATAAATTTTACAAGACACTTTTGTGCGATGCGAGTTGCTTTTAGCAATCGAGAACGATATAACTTACGCATAGCTTTCAATCTGTAATCCAGCGTCTGATACTTCCTCGCGTTAGTATCTTTTCTGGGATCGTAGCCCAGTTTCACCCACATGACCCTCCACGGTCCAGTCATGAAGTAATACGCCACTGACGGCAACAATATCTTTAACTGTTCGGACGTGAATTGTGTTTTGTACATGATGGCATTTTTCGACCAGATCGGACGCTCTTCGAAAAGTTGGCGCACCTGTTCCAAGTGCGCGTTTTGAAGGAACTTCACTTTCATAGCCGTTTCAATACCTCTCGGTGCCGCAGAGGGCACTTCCGGTGTCGAGAAGTATATATAACTGGGAAAACCTGCTTGACTTGTTTTTTTATTTTTACCGAGTATATTCTCCGAGTTGGAATCTATTTCAGTTTTCGGTATATATTGCTGTATGGTGTCCATTCTACTAAATGCGGCTGGTGGTAAAAAATAAGGTACGTCATTCTTTAGCCAGGAGTAAGATGGAATGCCGGTTGGATAAATCGAGCTGTATATACATTCTAACTTTTTTGGATTCAATTTGCTCTGCGTCATTGGTGCGTACTGAAAATCGCATAAATCTGAAAGAGAGAAACAATATCAATGCTCAAGACGATGTAAAAAAGGATCTGAACGTATAATACTTTACATAATTCGTGCAGAAAACATACTGGTAAATTTGAATTCTGTGTCAACTCTTCCTAGTATTTTCAAACTTGGTAGTTCATAATCCGCATCTTGTGACAAATTTTCATATTTATTATCGTTGAAAGTAAACGATGTGGTTTTTTTTCTTGAAAGACTTTCACCAGTACTCGTATCGCATAAATTTTTGGTATTACTCGTAGCACAATTTTTTTCTGCAGCATCTCCAGTAATGGAATGTTTAGAACCAACATTGCAGTTGTGTATCTGATCTATTAAATTATTAACGTCAGCATTGTCTTCATGATTGTCCTTTTTTGTATCTGATGTATTTTTAGGTTGTTCTTTCAAATGAGTTGCATCAAGATTTTCTTCGCCAACACAGGATGTAGTAGCTTTAACGTTTGTACTATCCATAATTTTTGTATTCTCTGTTGCAACATCTTCTGCTTGTGTTGTTTTATTTTTCTTTATTCGAACTCTAAGTAAAAAACCGATGGTACTGTGTCTATCCCCACAAGTAGGCTTGCTATAACCGTCATCAGGTCTAAATCGCAGTTCTAGTCTTCTATTAGGAGCATCTACAGTCTGTGAAAGAATAAATTAAATAGCAAAATAAAAGACTACACTAATTATAACATGATCAAATTGTATTTTACCATAGAAATAGAACTAAGGCCACCCAGTGTTTCAATAGCTTTATCGGTATTAACTACATTTCCTGGATATTTAATACATATCAGCTTCTTGTCAAATCTATGTCCAGAAATTACTGGACCTACATATTTGGCATCCCGAGATTTATTTATCTCTAGCTGTAACAGAAAACACAATTTAAATAGATTCTACATATATAAATAACATCCTATAAATTTCATAAATTACAGGTATGTGAATAAATAATATATAGATTTCTTTAATTGGTTGCAGTTCTCGAAAAAATTATTTTAGAAACATATCGTGCAACAATTTGACTGTCTTTGATTATTGATTTTTGTAGGAATTCAGCTTAAGCTGAAATATATACATAATTATTTGGCAAATAATATGGCATACATTAATGATGCATTATTTTAAACATAAAAAATACAAGCAAAATACAAAAAATCAGAAAAAGAAACTGTAAAAGGCTAACTTATTATTAATGTATAAAGCAGTATGTTATAAAGTATTAAAACTTACGTTAACATTATTTTCCGATAATTCGGTAAAAGAATCATCGCTGTCAATTTCATGGCGATAATCATCTACGTTAAAATCTGTATCTTTATCGTCTTGTTTATCAAACGTTTCGATGTCACTCGAATCACTCGCTTCACTCATAGTATCACTTTTTTATTTAAAATTGTAAAATCACATTCTTTTCAACTCTGAATTATGCAGGACAAGCTTTTCTTATATTTATTAAAATGCCTTCAATTCAATTTTCAAATTTTTGATACAAGTACTATGTAATGCAACATGAGACAAGTTGTGACAGAACTTGTTTAAGGTTATGATAAATATTTTAGAAAGACCAAGCAGTGGTGCCAAATTATTTTAGTTCTTTTCTAAAGCTTTATCCACATGCATAATCGAATAATGCATACGAGAAATGAATTGTGTCCATTGTGACTCATAATAAAAGACGCCATATTGTGTTCTCTCTACATTAGATTGGTTGATTTATCTTTGCATTATGCGATTATGCATGTTTATTTGAATGTATCTTAATGATCTAGAATAAATATTTGTGTCAGACATTTTATTCAATCAACAAGAACGAATGTAGTCTTTGCGTCATTAGTTGCTTCTCAGTTAATTGCTTTTCTAGTTTAGACATTTTCAGGCATTCCAGCATTAGGTATGCGTTATTTAATTAATCGCGCGAAACAGTCACATTTTCTTTTTGTTGTTTATCTTTTAATATTTAATGTTTTATTAAATAAACGCGAAACATTATGTTTCCTTCCAAGTTATTCAATTTGTAGTTGACAAAGTATTGAATTGCGTATTCGCATGCAATTTCCCGAATCACATTGTTAAAATATAGACATGTCAATGTATAAAACGATGGATATCTTATACTATGACAAGGTAGAATTATTCAAGAATCCGTGAGATATAAGCAGTTGCATGTCAATACTTGACATGTGAAATAATTTAATCTCACAAATTTGCCAATTGATGAAATTGTTATATGACTGCATAGGCAGAAATAAGTATCTGAAACATATTTATTTATTAAGCAAATTGTTACTGTTAACATTTGTATATAAAAGGTTTTATTATATGAAACCCAGAGCTCAAAATAAATGACTTCTATAAGACAATAAGAAGATATAGAGGCCAAGTTTGTATGCACAATTTAATACGCATACACTAAATTTAGCTACAATTCTATATAAATATTATGTATTTATTTGATATTGCTAGAATTATAGTAAAAATTTAATGTGTTATTATATTATTTATGCTACTAATATTTCATGAAATTGTCATATTATTGTCTTTGCTATTAAGGACAAATAAAGATTTTATTACCTATAATCAAGGACTCGTAAAGCAAATGAGCTTCCTATAAAAAAATAGAAAGAAGACAAGTTTGTATTTATACAGGGATCTGATATGTATGCATAATTTAACAGTAGCAAACGATCATTATCTAATGTCTTTTTGTTCTCATAATAATCAATTATGACGTCAGATGAAGATTATTTGCTACTTAAGACATGCTAAAAACTTGGCTATTGTTTGACATGTATGTAATATAGAAATATCAGGATTATACTTGAAATTTAATAAAATATTTATTATATAATATATATAATCTTTATCACTTCAGCTATTGCCAAGAAGGGATAATAAAATATTTGTTAAAGTATTTATTGTTAATAGAAATTATTTTAATATTTAATATTTAAATGTAGAAGCTTTTGTTACAAAATTATCTTTTTGTGAAAAATTGGTATCTCATGATTTTTATTACGTCATGAGATACGAAGTAAGAACTATAGATCTGTAATTTTTAGTGCTGTGTTATTCTAAATGACCATGTGGTCATGAGCCATCAATTTCTCCTTAAGTTTCAATTAAATCGACATACGTTTCTATACTTTCAGGCGAGCGCAGCAAAGTGGGTTAGATGGCTTTACACGAAGTATATAATTTCTTGAAACAGAACCGATAACAGTTGCTGCTAAATATTCAATGTGAGTCGATCGTCTTACATTGCCTTGCAGACTTTATACTAAGGTAATACCTTGAAATGACATATATGCTTCTTAAATAATTAATATCCGTATTTTGAAAATATGTTAGAAGTTACAATTTAGAGATAGTACTTATATTAGAGAATAGCTTCCAGAAAAATTACAAGTTAGAAACGATTTGTTCGAAGCAGTGGAAATCGTTTCGTGTAATAAAGTGGCTTGAAATATAGTCATCTCGGGTTTGCATGCCTTATGCCTGCATTATGAAGCAGATTCAGAAAAATTGTTCATGTCATAAACATTGAAATTGCATTGAAAAAAAGAACAATTCATGTGCGAGAGGAAGAATGAAATCGGAAAAGTAAATTTGCATGACTTTTTATTACTTTTAATATTACAATTTAGGATATTTGACATGGAAACCATGGACGACTTTAAGTATATTAACATTATTTTTGTAAAAATAAAAAAAGGCATTGTAAAAAATACAAATTGTACAATATTTTATCATACAATTATAAAAATATACTATATTGAAATGCGATGTACGAGATGCAATATGCACTTTATATGTGAAAAATTACATAAAAAAGTTATAAAGTAATTCTAAGTATCAATTTATAATTATTAAACAAGTGAAATGCATATCGATTGCTAATAACCATTAAAAAATAATTGAAAGTAAAGTCAGGAAGCGTTAAAAATATAAGTTATTGAAGCGTATTAGAAAAGAATACGCGTACAGTAACATGAAATTTATTCATTAACAAATGCTTTTCAACTTATGACATCTATGGCAAGTAAATAATGGATATCATAGCCATGTCATTTTATATGTCCGAGTTTTCGATCGCGAAGCCGAATATCTACTGTCCAAGCATAAACTGTCTCTGGAAGTAATAACAGCTTCTTACCGGTTTTTTAATTATCGATGCATTAAATGTGCATTAATTTTAAGTCCTAAAAGTTAAGAAGAGACAAATCTGTAATGAAATTTATATTATTTAAATGGAAAGATATATTAGAAATAGAGCTTTCAAACGTTGGACTATTATGTTGATACGGTGCTAATTAGGATATCGACATGAGGATTGTACGTTTAAGGGAACTGATATAAATATGAAATATACATTATACAAATATACATTATTTACAAAAAAATTTAATTTATGCAAATAAGATTGTATGTATATGCTTTATTAAAAAAAAAGAAAAAAGCAATACAAGTGCAAATCGCAGATGCATCAATACATTTCCGGGAAATTGAACAAATTGGATTGTACGTAGCAAGAAAAAGGTCATGCAAAATCTATTTCTACTTCCTCATTTAAAAAAAGTTAGTAAAGAGCTATAAGAGAGTTCCGGTTTAGAATTATTTCGTAGTGTATAGTGTGTAATCATCTTCAATGCAGCAGCATATATTATTTACTTGAAAAACGGTTGAGGAGTTGACATCAACAGAAATAGAGAAAACGTGATGTAAATTTGAGGCGGAATTTAAATGAAAAAAACGAAGAGAGTTTATATATTGTAAAATGTAATTCTTTAACGATAAACGATAGAGAAGGCAATAAGAATCAGAAGCGCGTATCAGTGCGTAATTATTAATTAATATACAAAAAAAGTTTTGGCCACAATTTCGGATATCAAATTTTATTAAACTCTTCATAGAATTTGAGAAAGAAAAAAACAATTTTTTTTTATTTTAACCGCTTTTATATGTATTTTTTAATATTCTCAATGTAATATAAATTTTTTTTTCTTTTTTATACTTTATTAAGCTAAAAAGGACTCAAATTGTGACCAAAACATTTATTTTATATATTATTTATAATAATTAAATTATTGTATATTATAATTTTTAGTAATTAATTGTGCTTTAACAACCGCGCTTTTGATTCTTATTGCTTTCTCTATCAGAGTTTACGATCAACTTCCTTTTATTTTAATATCGAAATTATATGGGTGACAGAAAGAAACATTCTAGAATTCACATAACATAACAGTGCAAGCGAAATGACGAACGTTAGTAAGAAACAGTACAGTTAAGAAATTAAAATCCTCGAATTGCCATAAAAAGTTTTGTTAATTGACGAATCATTATAGAAATGACAGGCGTGAGCAATACGTTATTTGAAGCTAAGAAGTTCAAGTACGGCCATAGTTGGCGCTTAAACTTCTTGTTAGGTCTAGTATAAAGACATACAGAATTTAGATGTTCTTAAACCCGTTTTATCGCGAATGCTTTCTTGTTATGCTTCTCACATATGCTCCACGATCGATTGTAAAACGAGACTATAAATTTCATATTAGCTTCGTGTGTTAAATGCTTGACACGTCCTCATTCCTACGTAATACGTTAAAAAGGTATCGTTGCACCTGTCGTTACCTCTGATGGATCCCACAAGAAGATAATACGTATATGTATATATATGCATACATATAGAAGTGCGCAATTTATAACAAAAGAATGAATTCATCAAACTTTTATGAATTACGTTTCAAAAGGCGATTTTATTCTTGAACTTTTACGAGTTGCGACGAAAGACAATTCATTTCTCAAACTTTTGCGAATTGCGTTGTAAGGCACATTCAATTATATTCAACCTTCCAACTAAGCAACTTTTTATGACGCTAATAAACAATTTCCTACTCGCGCTGGAAGTTATTTTACTCAATGTCAATTTCATCTAAAATATTCGATAAAAACATATGAGAAACATAAAAGGACTGTCAAGAATATTTTCATAAGAAGCGGAAACACGAAAATGAAAACGTAATAAAGAAATTCGCTACATTTCGCATTGGGTCTATAAGCGGTTTTAAATAAAACTCTCGTTAAAGCTATTTTTGTAAGGACGAGAGACCGTACAGTTTTTACTGTATAAGTAAGAAATATATTTTACTATGCGAATATACTTTTATTGATATACGAAAGATTATATATAAGAAAGCAAAAAAGAAAAGAGTTTAAGAAGCGGAGATGCAAAAATAGAAATAATAAAACGTTTGTTTTTTGTTATCTTTGCTCTATTTTCATCTTCTTTTACTCCAATACGTTTGTAGATTAGACTCTTTATGAAGTCAACGAAACGACATGCAAATAATACCATTATTTGAACTCGTCGTTCGCGGTTTACCCTCACTATTTGCTCACCGAAGTCTGTTCGAGAACAGTCGCGCAGTCGAGAAACAGAAACTTGACATTGAACCCCCTACATTACACCCTTGTACGACAAACGCCCACATACACACACATATCCTCATTACTATCTCCGTGTGTTGTATGCAAAGTACATGCACAAGCGTGTAAAGAGTGGGCGCTTGCGCGTATCCATGACAACAAGTGGTTCTTACTACGACCTCTATTTGTTCCTGACAAATCATTATGGCATTGTCGTAAAGAAAGCTCGACGTAAAAGCTCCGCTGTGAAAGCATTGTGACTCATAATCGTTCACGTCGTCGCACCACGCGCGCACTTTACGCGCTGGCCCTTCCCGGAGTGAAACACGAAGTTGGAACTGGTCTCGTTCTTCAGCCTTCTTCCGCGAGCCACGCGACTTGGTGCCCAGGTTCGGAGCCGAACGTGCGAAATTACACATCGATCACTGCTCGATCGTGAATCGTGTTCACGAAAGACCGGATTTCGAGGATTTTCCACGTTTGCCGACGTTGCTTGCGTATATCGCAAATACACCGCGATACAATCGCAATTGCATCAGCAAGGTAAATCAATCGTGAGTTTCAGGATGACATGTGATGTCGCTCACCCGAGTGTTTTCTCGCCGGAGACTGTTGCCTTACTCGCGCAATATTGTGTCATTTCGTCGGCCAGTTTGATTATCGATTCTGTGTTCTGTCAGTTTTACTAGTTCATTGACTGCAAACGCGTTGATTCAAGCTCGTCGATTCACTACGGATGAAAAAACAATAACGATAGACACTAGTGTTCGTATGTGTGGCGAAACTTGGATGGCAACTTTGGCATGTTTCAGTATGTTTTAGAGTTGTCGAAAGTGCATTGTATATAACTTTGCGTAGTATTTTACTGATGAATTGTGCGGGAAGCTATTCTATTAAAAAGAGTTGATCTCAAACATACGTGAGTCAAAAATTTTCCGCAAAGTATTGTTCAAAAATAAGTACTTGTAGAAATTTAAGCACTAAATTACAATTTTATATTGATTTTATACTGATTTTTTACAGAATCATTACAGTTTTCAACGCAGTGTTCTTTTAGTGGCAGTTTATTAATTCCTTGAAAAAAGTCTGTTAATTGGGAAGTAACGAATGTGCACCACAGCTTTAAGCTCGCCATCATTAAAAATATTTTTCCACATTCTTTGCACAGTCTAGATTTGGTGCCATTAGATTATCATGTATTTGAAGTATTAAAAGAAGATCTGACAATGAAAAAATCTGAATTGTGAAGAAAGTGGTAAAATATTTTTCTAAGAATGACGAGTTTAAAACTGGAGTGCAGGATTTTTTTTGAGGAATAACAAAGCTGCCGGAAGAAATGTCTTGAAGAACATGAGATGTGAAAAAAAAAATAATTTGGTCAATAATTTAATTTTTTAGAAATCTTTATCTTCGAATAACTTTGCGGAAAATTTCTGTCTCGCTCTCAAACATTCAATACTTCAAATATTTATAAGATAAAAACATTGATTTGTAAAACTATCTGATTTGCGTACATTTTAAATATCGGAGTTCTTTGATACATCTTTATTTTTGCTATTGCGTTAATAATAATTATCAAATTGGCTTTAAAAGCAACCGCCAGAAATTTTTCAAAATTATACATCGATGATAAATCGTTTTTTTTTTCTTTTTCAGCTGGATTTAAGTCACCGTCATTTTTATTCAAACATCGCAAGTGTGTGCAATAAGATATCATTCAAAATGAAACTAACAAGAATTTGCCTCACGTTCGTCAAATAGTTCTTCAAAATCCAACGTCGATGTGGACAGTGATTTTACTCGGTTTCGTCCTCAAGTGCCTGCTGAAGAAGCTACGTCGAATAGATTCGACACGGATCAACACGTGGCAGGCGCACATTCCATCCTCATTGGGACATCGTTTGGTGGAGAAAATTAAGTTCCACGGATAAACCGCATTTGCTGAAGCCACCCTCGGTTTACGAAAAAATCATCGACACGCGCGGCACAACGAACACTTTTCTAATGTGAAAGTCCTGCGCTCAACTTACACGTTGCGTACGATTCGTCAGGATTACACGTGTGTTGAAGCGGAGATGAGCTTGTCTGCCAGAAGTATGTGAGTAAATGGCCGTGGAAGGATCGTGTCAGTTTTCGAACAACCTACTATGGGCATCTGCCTGGACACTGGTGAGTACAATTAATCACTAATTAATCACAAGCGCGCAACTTTGCGAGATTTTATGCCTTTCTAGTTAGATAATCCTAAATGTATAAAATCTTAAGTATTTCTTTAAAAGTGTGATTTTTATTATTATTTTTTTTTATTTAACAGTTATTTTCTTTTGAAAAGAGTAAAATGAGATTATCACGATGCATTTGTTTGAATTAATCAATAGAAAGTTCAATATACATTAATATGACTTTTCTATCATACATTTTTCTTCTTAAAGTACATTTACGATCGAAATTTTATTAACATATTAGGGGAAGTCAAAAAGTAAAGAGACATTTTTTTAATTGATTTGGGAATCAAAAAAATTCCTTTGTTTATTGACTCTTTCGTACATAAATTTTTATTTTGTTTAATTCAATGAGCAATAAAAAATTTAATGCGATTAATTTATAATAAATTTATAATTTTGTTAATTATAAAATGAAATTTTATAACGGGTGTTGTTTTAATGGATTATTGTAGTTTAAATTCTGCCGAAGATCAGGTTGAACGTAATAAATTAAAAGCTTGGAGTTATCTTCATTGTAAACTTGCACAATCATTCGGTTTTTACGAATATTAAAAATGAGTAGCACATAAATAATGTTGTTAATAATATTACGCTAGGTGCGTTACATTCTTATCTATATGTCAGGAAATTTTTATATTTTTCACACAAGTAAACCAAATCTATGCGATAATAAGATTGTAAATATTGGTACCTGATTCAAATTGAGGTGATTACTCGATTCCATTTGTATTGCGTAATAAATAATATAAGTGCAACAATGCATGTTTTATGCAAAGCTTTCAACTTTTATGTGGGGTCTTCAGCTCCGTCACGCGACGATGATGAGCAAGATGAGAATCGAAATAAATCGACCATCTCATTGATAAAAACACCACTTTACAGATAACGATAAGCGGAATAATATGCAAATGCATAAAATGCACTGCGAAGTAGTGTTTGTCATCATGTGTATAAGTGTCTATAATATTTATTTTTTTTTAATCTTGGAATATTTTAATTTGTCTACTTGATACCATTCTTTTTCCTGAAAATATATGTACGCATATTACTACTATATGCGTTTATATTTTTAGTTTATATTTTTACTAAAACAATTTATCAAGAAGCTAAACACATACATTCATCAGTAATCGTCGTAATTGAACGTTGTGCATATTTCAGTGCGCTCAATATTAGTTGAGACTGCAATCAATAAAATTGAATGACACAATTAAAGTTTATCCATCGAGTAATTTTATTTGTCGATAAAAATGCCTATTTAAGTTTTTCAGTTTTTGTAACACGTATATATAATGTGTTAATTTTTTTAACTTTATAATTAAATCAAAATTTGTAAAAATGGACGATTGTAAGTCTATAATGAAGATAACTCCAAGTCTTTCAAATATGATGTGATCTTTCGCAAAACTTAAACTACAATAATGCATTTATTCAAAGAATACTCGCTCATTACATTTAATTTTAACAAACTTAACTTAATTTTAACTTAACTTTAATTAATTTTAACTTAACTTAATTTTAACAAAATTATAAATTTGTTGAAAAATGAATTCTATTCGTCTTTTTTATTCAATCTTTTATCTTGTCTGAATAAATTAGTCATTTTAGAAAGTGATGAATTAATGTTTCAGATCAGCAAAATGGATCGCAGATGTTCGAGGAAGGCGATGCTCGAGCTACAGGAAGATGGCGAGGTGAAGCTGGTCTTTTGGCGACTCCACCGGATGGACATTTCCCGAAGCAGAACGTTGGCCCGGTTAAATTCGAAACACCGAAAGTTCCCGTTATATTCGTGCTTGGTTGGTATCAATCGACATTCATTGTTTTTTCATGTAATATTAAGAAAAATTATCTATATTCACTAAATACATCGCGTACCTCAACGTTGAATTGTTCCAATAAAGCCATTTTATACCAAACTAGTCGACTTGAAATAATTTAATTGTTGAAATTCAGAATTGAAGTGTGGATATTTATTGAATGATTTCTGATATGTTTAATGATTATTTTTAGGCGGTCCCGGCAGCGGCAAGGTGACATATTGCGACAATTTGATACAAGAAAAGAAAGGTATAACGCATATCAACATGATGGATCTTCTTCAACAATACGCACTAGGAAATGGTTCGTATTATATGTATCGTAACATTAAAATTATAAACATTAATAATATAAAATTTTAACAATGAAACAAGCATATATGCATCTGGAAAAAATTATATTGCGTGCTTTCGAAACTACGTCTCAATCTTTCCGAATAATTTTAGAGAATAAAAAATCCTTGTACTTTCGCAATGTATACTCAATTATTATTTTACTGCAGATATGCAAGATTTTGGACAACTTAGTAGTAAGACTGTCACTGAAGTACTCATGCTCGAGATGAAAATGTCCCCAGGAGCCAAAGTTTTTCTTGTAAGCGGATATCCGCGAAATATGCGCGACGTAGTGGAATATGCCGAAAAAGTGAGTTTATCCGTCATTTATCGATAAGATTATCCTTTTTACAGGAACAAGAGGATTACGTTTCCTAACAAACTTAATTACGCACAGTATTCAAAACAGTGATGAGATAATAATTGTGAATAATAATATACAATATCGTTTACAGATCAAAATTGTTAACGGCGTTATTCTCGTATCGTGGAGACAAGAAGTGCTGGAGAGGCAAATTGATTTCGGCGCACAACTCGGGCACGTCATCATCGGATTAGCCAGGATGGAGTTACACAATTTTTACAGAAATGTCATGCCAGTTGCAGAATATTTCGATCAAAGTGGAATGTTACTCGAGGTAAAAGAATCTAGATTCTTAAATTTTGCTCACGAATAATATTTACATATGGAAATAAAAATTGTCTGTACAGGTGAATGGAGAGCGTAATCCGAGCGAGGTGTATGTTAGTTTCCGGGATGCCGTCCTTAGAATTCTCGGCATGCCAGACGGAGAAATGCGAGACCAGGATATACCTCAATCTCTGGAAGCCGAGGTAAGTGCAAGCTAAAGGCTCAGTGCGTAAAGGCGCGAATTAAAAAGTAACATATGTGCTGCACATCGTGTTTCAGGTGGAAGTGGAGAGGAGAAAAGAGTCAGTTACAAGTTTACCGCTGGCGAAGCAGCAAGCAGCAGCAACTGCGATGTCACCGCCTCCACCAAAATCGAAAACCTCCAATAAACCGAGGAAAGGGTTGCCAGCATTTATTTGGGTCATAGGTATTGATTCGCACAAAAATCGTTATCATTTTCTATTGTTTTTCTTTTCAAAAGGGAATAGAGATAATCGCATCGCACAATTCGTCTTGTATAATATATGTAATGTCGTATATTAGGCGGGCCGGGAAGCAACAAGGCGACTCTTTGCACCCAAGCCGTTCACAACATGCCGGGTTGGCAGCACATAAGTGTCGGAGGATTGTTGAGAACGATGGCATCGTCGAATGTGGCCGTGAACGACGCCATTGTTTCGGGGGAAATGGTCCCGCACGACATCGTGATGCAGCTTGTGGAGCAGCAGATTCTTTTGAATCGCGACACGGACGGTATTGTCATGGACGGATATCCGAGGGACTTGAATCAAGTGCAAGAATTCGAGAGCAAGGTAATATTTGCATATTGCGTCGCGTTACGCTTTTAAAACAACGAAAGTCCTGTTTGATAATTTAATTAGCTAAACTCATTCATCAATAATTTTATATACATTTGATTTCCTTATTTCTGAGCAAATTTTGCACTCCTAAAAGTATCGTATTAATGAATTATGTCGCATTATTAATAGTTTGGACAAGAACCACCGTTGGTGTTACTCGACTGCTCCAAGCTGCAGCTCGGAAGAGGAAGGCTGGACGACAGTGTTTCGGCATTTAGAAAAAGATTGGAGCTATTTCGCGAGGTGTCTCTTCCCATGTTGAAAACACTAGATAGCGACAATCGTTTAACAATTGTACGTATAGTTAACAATAGACAAAGATTATTGGCTTTACATTTTGTATTAAACGATATATATTCAATGTCGGATATCTTGAATTACGCAAGAAAAATACCAATCAGAAATAATGATCATTTTATTATTTACAATTACATATAATTATCGTGTAAAAAAATTTGTAGCTCTAAAAACTCTACTTAGAAAAATATTGCGCATGGTTTTTTTTGACGGTATCAAAGTACGGCAAACCTTTCTTTCTTTCATATATATTTATGAAATCGTCTTATACGTAACAAAATATGATTCGTCTGCTTTTTAACAGATAGTAAATATTTATTATTTTTAGGTGGATGGTGATACAGATGTGCCTAGCGTACAGCAGGATTTCGCTGCTGCATTGTATCAATTAATGCGTCGGACGCGTCGCAAGGAAGAAGAAAGCCTACATGATGCGGATTCCCCGACAATTAAAGGATTGCGCCCAAACGGGGTACACGCCGTAAATGAAAATGAACGTGCCATACCTAACGGCGTTGCCAAGCAAATAGCTAACGGTGTGGCGAATCACATTGGAAATGGGTTAAATGGAGTTACTGCTCAAGGTAATTGCTTTTAGTGAACACTTTTATAGATATTTTTGGGTTCTGAAGGAGTGACTTCTCTTGTGGTTTTCTTATTGTGAAATTTTTCTGAAATCTAGAAAACAATAATGTAACATAGTTGACGTTCAGTTAAGAAATGCGCGTATCTTCTTATTGTTAGCGCATAAATATATTCCGATATTTATTTTTGCCATGCTAGGAGTAGGTGCCATTTCTAATGGTGTGTTGAACAATATGAAGCATATTCAACAAAACGGTCACGCTTATCAAAACGGCATCGCGAACGGAGCGGCGCACATGCTACAAAATGGCGTGGCGCATTTAGCCAACGGCATCGCATCCGGCAACAATAAGGTCGCGCCCGCGATGAACAACTATTTGCCAAAGGATCCCATCAGGAAAATGTACAATGAAGTCGAGGGTTATCAGCAGAACCTTCACATGTAAGTGTGACGTCCGCAGACGACGTCTTTTTTAATATCGTTGAAGACTTTTTTACTTGTTAACGTCGCGCGAAGAGATTTTGCACGAGCTGTGTAACGGGACCTTCGATTGTATCGACAACTTCGATCGTTACGCGTCTGCACATGGTCTTTCAGCGACGGATATATTGAGGCGATTGATACATTGGTGCCTTAGAATAAATACGATTTAAGATTTTGCAGTACAATTTATAGATATGTATATTCATCATAAAAATGAAGCCAAAAGCGGAGTTGATATCAGGAATACTGTGGAGTAATATTTTTGAATTTTGAAATAACGAATATACGGAACCACATCTATTCCACTCAAAGTTCTCTTTCTGTTTTGTCCTCTCAATACAATATTATTATACGATATCTATACTACGATATCTCTTCCGGATTAATTTTATATGCAAACAGAATACATATAATTATTTTGTCTCAATGATTGATTTATAAGATCAGCTTACAATTAGTATTATTTGTAGTATGTCGTGTATATATATATATATGCATATACATATATATATATACACACACGCGTACTATTTTACAGTATCAAATAAACAGATCAAGTTCTATATGTGATATATGTAGCAAGCATGAATCACATCGTATAACTGGAAAAATCGTTTAGAGTGCCTAAAGATAAATGCAATATCATTAATCAAAGGATTAATGCGCAGAGAGAAGATGTACCTGTGATGAAAGTATA